CTTTTTGATATGGGCTAAGAACTCCAAATGAAGCCATTCATGCAATAACATTATCATCTTTGACCTGTTTACCTCAGTGGTATACAAAGCCCTGGGTTTGTCCCTGGGTTCTTCTGATAACCATCTCAATGCAATGTATGTGGTGATTGTCCATCATTGATAGTTTTGAAAAAACCCACTATTTTTGTTTTTCAAAGTTAAAAATACAAATCCTACAAACTGGCTTTCTTGTAACCTTCTTAGTTTTTAATTCAAATGACGAATTTTAGATGACCTGACCCTATTATGTAAAAACTATTAATAATACTTTGTATGTAGTTTAGTTTAATTTTAGTTTTATAGACAGTGTAAACTGCAGAGCTGCAGAGCTGTAAATTGTTCATTGTACGCAAAATAATGAAGGCTGTCTGTCTGCTATTCTGTCTTGATTGGTCACTATTTTAGTGACTTTTATATGCAAATTAAAGTAAATTTTGAAGAAAGGCAAATTTGACTGCTAAGAATAANAGTAAATTCTGAAGAAAGGTAAATTTGACTGCTAAGAATAAACTTTAATGTTGATCTCATTCTTTTCTTTTGTTTTACAGGCTCATTCCAAGGCAGAGAAGCAAGTCAGATTTGTGTTCCTGCAGAGGATTGAGACATCTTACAAGCTCATTGCGTTAGATGTGAGAAGTGAAACTTTAATTCTTGTTTTACTCTTAACGGTGCAAGGAAAACGTACTTGGAACAGGTTTCAAGTTGCCCTTCGCGAGTCTGAAGGCCTTTTTGGATCACTTTGCTTTATCTGACAACTACTGAAGAAATTCAGAAACTTGAATTGACTCTAGAGCCAAACAAAAAATTCATCCCTGGGGGTGGGGGACCCCCTTATTAAAAGCCCCTAAGAGGAACCAATAATTCTAAAACAACACATTATCTTCTGTCTTGTTTTTTCGACTCAATACCCTAAAATGTACTACAAAAGCTCCCGCTGTGGATCTGTTGAGGCCGAGCACCCTAAGAGGAACCAACAACGTGTTTTTAACCCCTTAAGGTACGACGAGCCCCCCCGTCCTTTTTATNAAAAGCAATCCAAAAGAATATTAATTTCAACCAGGCTTGTGCTTTTCTTGGTGTTTAGTATGATGCGAATACCTAATCTTAGGCCCCGTTCATACGTTGCATTTCTGCCGTGTCGAATTCAATTCAATGTATTAAATTCGACGGAAATTCGACGTCTGAATCGGCTGTCGCATTTCTGCCGCACGTTCGACTGGTCCTGTCGCATTATCCGACAGAAATGCGACACCAATTCAGGCGTCGAATTTCTGCCGTGTCGAATCTAATGCATACATTATGTTAATGTATTGCGGAGCATGCGTAAATGTTTTCCCGCCAAAGAAAAAGGAGAAACTTGGTCATTCTCGACCCAATGCAACCTGAACATATTGCAACATATACTGCTCTGTTGCCAGCCTTCTCCTTCTTGTTCCATTGGCGGACAATTTTTCACAAAATTATAGTCCTTCGTCGCTCGGTATTTTCGTCCGCCATATTGAGTACTCTACGTTTAAAACACTTTCCGCTTGCCGACATACCCGACAATATAAATTCTGAATTAAGTGCGACACAAGTGCGACGTATGAATCTACAGTCGCATTTCTGTCGCACTTAACTGAATTGAATTCGACACGGCAGAAATGCGACGTATGAACTGGGCCTTAGAAAGCATTCCCTCTTTAGGTTGCCGCTAGTGAACATTCATGCTACCAAACAGTGGCAGTTTTCAATGGACAACAGTTATTGTTGGGAGTTAAGGTAGGTAAAGGTAAAGTCTGTATAAAAGCCAAGTGGTTCCTCAGGCCTGAGTTTTTCCCGGTTTCTGTAGCATGAAGCGACTAGGAGTATTTCTACTCCCCCCTGGATGGAATGCTAGTCTATCGTAGGGTTGTGCCCCCAGCATTAACCTCGCCGATACCTACCTATACACTGGGTGGAGAGAGGTACTGTGAGAGTCACGTGTCTTGCCCAAGAACACAACACCGTGTTCCCGGCCAGGACTCGAACCCGGACCGCTCGATCCGGAGTTAAGCGCACTAACCATGAGGCCACCATTATGTTAAGCCAAAATGAATTCAGCGAGGACTGTCCTATTGGCAAAGTGTTGGGGGCAACCTTATAACCTGATACTCCCATCTGGGTCCGAGTGACAGTTGTAGAGTTCCCCGTTGTTTAATGCCAGTGACAGAAAGCGGAGTTAAGCCTCGGATAAGTGGGCCAACTGGGCGTGATTTTTCTCTTCAAGAAGCTGATATATTTGAGGGGTGAAGTGAGTGCTTGATCAATGGTGGCTTTGATACTTGATACTTGATACATGTATATCTTAGCTTGTTGTTTGATTTTGTGCTTCATTTCAGTCCGTCCATGTGTTGACATTAAGGAACTGGCGTGATGTAAGTGCCCAATAAAACTCTCTTCCTATAAAAAGTACTTACCGTGTTGCGATATATAAATAATGATCATGATCAATGGTGTTTATGGCCTATTTGAAATTGAAAATTTCTATTTCAAATTCTAGTCTATCCCACTGTACCATTTCAAGCACATTCATCTACATGTATATATTTTATAACCATTCAGCCACGGAAATGACTCTGAGTTGGACGTCTGTTTGACGCTGAAAGCTGAGGACAATTTTAAATCATCATCTAAACTGTCATTCTGTGGATGTTAGGCAGGACATTTCCCATATCAGCCCCTGCACTTGGTCAATTACTTCCTGATTTTTGTTATTTGTTTTCCCATTTCAGAGAATAGAAGTGTTTGTGAGGCAGAATAACTTCCTTGATGCTCTTGAACTAGCTTTGTCCTTTTACGATGGGACCGCCATGGCAGTTATCGGTGGGTTCACACTAGCAGCTCAATGCTCAATTTTCCATTCTCTCTTCCAATTGGTGAATTTTGTTCTGGTTTAAGGTTTGCTTGGAAATAAAGAGCAGAGGATGGTAGAAATTGCTGCTCAGGTTGGTACTTTCATTGTTATATATGTGTTTTTTTCATTCAACGTGGAATGTACATTTATGTGACAACAAAAACAGAAACAGCATAACAATAACAACAGCAGCAATAGCAATAACAACAACAACTACAACAACAATGATAACAACAGAACAGCAACAACAAAAAATAAAGCAACAACAACAACAGCAACAATAATCACAGACGACACCAAATGATTCTTTCTTTTCCCGCCCTAGATCGAGGAATTACTGCTTGCCTATGTAGATATCACGGTATTCGTGAGCTGTCCTAAAACTAAAGATTCTGAAGAGCTCAGAACTTACTTCAAGGTAAGCCGTTTAAGTTGAGTACTTGTTTTATTGCTGTCATTACATGATTTATTCAGTCAAAAAGCAGTTACGACTTTAAGTCTTAATCGATACTCTATTTCAGACCCCTAAAACACGTCTCTAATACGGTGACTTCAGCTAACCAGAAATGGCTTTCATTTGCGTAAACAGCTGAGAGGGCTTTAGATTCCCCTATTTTACTGGGAATAACCAGTTTCATCTAAACGTCGTTCCCAATTGCTATAAACATTTCCCATGTCAGACCAAACCGGTCAAAATCTAGACGCTATTTCAGGCCAAAAAGGCACAAGACCATACACTTTTACACCGCACATACCTTGAAAGCTTACATTAAGAATTTCTCCTGTACTGGGCTGGCAGNTTGATGTGACAAATCTAGATATTCATCAAGTACGTATTGCACGCTTAGGCCTCGTCCACACGACTCCGGAGGAACTTTGAAAACGGAGGTTTCGCTCTGAGAACACGTCATATGTTTTCCGTCCACACTACGCCAGAGAAATTTGTAAACACAACAATCACCGCTAATTTTTGATTCCCACAACAGGCCTAGTTGTTCAAAGATTAGATAACGCTATCCACCGGATAAATTGCCATCCATTGGGTAAATGTTAGCAAAACAAACCACGCTATCCACTGGATAATTATTGATCCAATGGATAGCGTTGTACGCCCTTCCAGCAGGCCGGGACAGTGACATTTCTGGCTTGGCGCTGTGATTATATTATCCCACGTTTGCTTTGACAGTGATTAATTCTGTGATTCCATTTGGTCTTAATTAGTATTACTGCTCTCATCAGTGAATCGCTGAAAGATTTTTTTAAGACTATTATCAATTTATCTCCCAACAGATGGTAAAGCTATGTTGGGCACATGGCTTGTATGACGCCATTTTCTATGTTTACAACAGGGGAATGCGCGACTATTGTACACCACTAGAGGTAAAGCATTGCGCACTCTTAGAATGTAGAAACTTTTGACTACAACCTTAAAATGAACCGTTTCGTATAGTGGGAGTCGTTAAAATTGACTTCTAAAACGCGCAAATGAGCAAATTCTAACAGATTCTTCGAAAGAATTGTGCTACATTTGGCGCCGTTTTTCAAAAAGCTGTTGAGTTAAGTCGAAGATCATGATTTCACGTTTTGTGACAAGTTCAAAATTTCCTGGCCAGGCCGCATCTGTCACCTGGGGGAAACAAACTAAACAACAAACAATGTTTGATGGTATAAGTTTTCTCAGCTGNATGTTCTTTCAATGGTAAGCAACATGTTTGTAGCTAACAGTTTGAAACGGTTTTTCTCGCACGTTTCTGAGTTAACAGTTCAAAGTATGAGTCTGACATTTTACCCCACTGGCTTGTAGCATTTTTTGCCTTTGAATAGGCTATTGCAAAATCGAAATCACCTGATCACCTGTTCTTCTTGGTAATCCTTTTGCTTGGTCAGTATAATTTTAATGAACCTTTTGAATCTTACTGGCAGCTTCTGGCAGTAAACTTGTTTGATGTTTGCCTTTAGCCTTCAACCACCCCTTACATCAGGTGAAACAACTATTCTATACAACCAACAACTACTGTTAGCTGTTTTCAGGTGATTCGCTCGCTTGAACTCGGCATAGCTGGTGTTCAAATAGGATATACATGCATACATACATGTACTTTTTGTTGAGGCAGGTTGGTTTGAGGCAACCTGAAGGCTGGTGGGGACCTGCCAGAAACTTAATTAAAAAACTATTTATACAAAAACTTATTAATATATGTATACAGGATTCTTCTAAATCAACTTGTATTTGTATTTCATCACAGGCTTTTGAGCGGAAAGATTTTGATGACGGTTTTGAGTAAGTTGTTTAGATGACCATTTAGTAATCGTAGATAGAACCATGAGGCAAATAGAAGTGTTATTGACATCACTGCACCATGTTTATTCGTATCTGGTAGACTTTGTTGATCATATGGAGTAAAAGACTTATTTGCTTTTGGTAATTTAGTTTGTCTTCAACTTACTTCATGCTTTTATCGAGGTATTCAACTATTTATCTTTTTATAACAGAAGTCTACGTAAACGGTTGTCATAGCGTAGCACTAAACAAGGTTACTTGATTCATCCGTGATTTTAGCGCTGTCACGCACTTACAGCTGATTTTCTATCAAACTGCGTGACAAAGGCGAAAGTTCATCACGGTGATTTTCATAGCAATAGTGTGGTGAGATTATTTAACTTTTCAGTGAAGCCAGTGTTGTCACGAAGCGTTGCGCTTATGGTGGTTTATTTTAAGATTGCGTGACTTAGCTCGTCACAATATATTCATGGTACTCACCAAGTGCTATCCCACTTGTATTTGCAGTGGCCCTACAGGTGTCACACGGAGGCAGTTCCTTGTAAATGTTCTTCTTGACGTTATGGTGCAAGATACAGGATTTACAGTACGTGTGCTTGTAGCTAAAAAACAAAACAAAAACAAAACAAAACAAAACAAAACAAAACAAAACATATATTTATAGTAATTTTTATCGCAGTGCCACAAGGTGCNCTTCATGCTACAGAAACAAGGATAAGCTCCGACTGTATGGGCAGGGGTCTGACGTAGGCTTTTGTAAGGAAAAATGTACTATAAACGTTTGCCTGACTAACTTTCATTCTCGATATCGTTTTGCTAGTGACGAGATTAAAATTCTCCGAACTCAATAAAGATCGCACCATGTCCAGAGCTCTTGATGTTTTTTCTTTGCTTATTAAATTTTATCTTCTCTTTGATTGTACACGCAGCCAAGCCAAGTTGGATCGTTGTTCACCTTTCTAGCACGACAGATGGCTAAACACGAGAATAGAATAGAAGTAAACAAAGTGTTGTTCGAACAGGTAAGTGAATCATAAATCTATGTGGAAAAGTAGATGAATCATTTCGTCAAAGCTTTAACTGTTGGCTCCTTGAGTCTTGTCATCAGTCTGCTTGACTAAGTATTGAGTTGCATGAAGAAATTAACTGTCTTTGACTTAAGTGTTGCTTCTATATAGGTTCTTGAATATCTGGCAAATCCTGATGACGATTCCAGACACGAGGAAAGACAACAGGTATTGTTCTACAGCTGGAATTCAACTGTTTCTCGCGCTACCAGTAATTAGTGTACGTTGGTAAGCTCTGTGATGTACTTCTCAGTATGCCTTGCTGATCTGGCTTTTTTTAAAGCTTAGATTTAGGAGCTAGGCCATACTTAATTAGCTTTGTGTGTCGCTAGGTGGCGAAGTATAACTGACAAGTGACAAATACGGAAGCAAATGAAATAAAATGTAAAAAAAAACAAAAAAAAAAACTGAATATTTACTTATTAAAATACGAACTGATGGGTACCCTCGTTCGGAGGGAGAAATAACTGTTCGCAGGGTAACTGATTAGAGGCTGACCAGTTATTTACAAAGAGTGACCAAGGAGTTGAACCCACTTCGTACGGGGCAGCTAAGGACACATCCTGTTTATAGCAGGATGAGCTGAATTTGAACCAAAAACCACCAGTTTCAAGGCCAGCCATGTAAAACATTCGACCACGCCGCCTTCGTTGCTCTCGGCTAAGCTCCTTTACACTACAATCAACATTTACATCACATTGACACAAGGCGTTAAATAGACTCTAACAATGGTGGTCTTTTATCTTACTCTGTTCTTCAGGCCTTGCTGGAGCTCTGGAATGCAGGAGGACTGAAACAGTTTGACGACGCCAGAATTCTGGTCCTTGCCGAAAATGCTAAGTTGTAAGTATTCGTCGATGATTACTGTGCAGTTCACCTTGGATCTCTGGCTCATTGCTGTCGTTTGTTTCAGCTACCGAGTGTGTGAAATGCTGTACGAAAGAAAACGCCAATTCTCCAAGGTTCTGTCTTGTTACTTCAGGGATTCCCACAGAGAGGTAGGCACTGACGATCTTCGACGTATTAATTTGACTGATTGTCGAACGTTTCTTAAAGGGACTCAGTGGATGTATTTTGAGTTATTTTGGTCACGTACAAAATTACCTTTAAATGGAAGGAAACCTGAAAATAATAGTTTACTAAGATGGAAAAACACCAAAGAGATAACAATAAACCATAAAGGAACAAAGATAGTAAAGGTTGGAGAATGTTCTAATGGATTACAAACGACGAACTCGAAAAATTCAAGGTGTACAGATCGTGACTTAACACCGTTAATGTTATTAGTTCTCAGAATTTGGTAGTGCATCGAGACGACGTAGGGTAATTGATGAATTTCTTTGTTCTCATAACTTTTCTGCTTGGCAATATATTCATATTGTAAAGAGAAACTAGCAGTTGATCTCTCTTGAGGGGCTGAAGATGACCAATATTGCTTGTTGGCCTACTCGTTAGACTTTAGATCAGCAGTCCTTGTTAAGCCCTTTGTAGAGGAATGGTGCCTTCCAAGTTATTCTCTACAGAAATAATATCTGGTATACCGCAAAACTAACACGGTAAGAAACTCCTCCTCTTTTACAGCACCAAGTGTTCACTTATGTCCATGATGTGATGACGGAAGACGTTTACACCGATCTGGAGAGGGAGGAACTGAAGGAGGCCTCGCTTAAAAGTTTACAGGTTGGTTATGTCAATGACGATACGAAAAACCCTATAGACACTTAGCAAGATAACGTTTTATGCTACAATAATTATATTGGTCGCGATCCTCTTTATATTCATACCACCACATCAATGTTCTGCTCAACAGCTTTCATTTGAATGGTCACACACTAGGGTTTCATCGACTAACGTAAAAGTTAGAACCACCTTGTACAGCATAACAAACGGTACAACATGAAAGTACTGCTCAACAGTTTTTATTTGAATGGTCACACACTAAGGCTTCATCCACAGACTTAAAAGTTAGAACCACCTTGTACAGCATAATACACAACATGACTCATTTATAATGTTTAAAATTTTCACTTTCAGAGCTTTCTATCCATTGACTGTGGAAAGACTGCTCACATGATTCTCACGGAATTTCCAGATATTCTGACAATTGTCATTCGCCAACTCGAGGTGAGGATGTGTTGGAATCACGGATACAAGAAGCCGGTTGTACCAACCGAACAAGATTGTTCTATTGTATCCGTGAAAAAGATTGGCAAATGTTAGCTTGGCTCGTAAAAACCTTTCGTGTTGTTAGTATCCTCGTTTGTGCTAGATCTAAGTCTGTGTCGCCCCAAAACAGTTTTTTTTTGCAACTATCATTAGGCCTAGGACTACCACGCTAGTCTTGTTTTGAACTGAGAAATGCTTGGTTGAGGTTGCTCTCTTGTGATAACTCGAAAGTTTGTTGCTCTAACGTTTTGGTCTGATTTTTTTTTTTAATTTGACAAAAAATATTTAAAATGCCAGCTACTTTCTACCTGATTGTATGCATTTTTCGCTACCATCCACGATACCTAACACTTATCTCTTGTAGCAGAGTTCTTTGCCCTCTTATTTTCCCCTCTAAATTTGTTTCTGTATCCTCCCAGGGCCAAGCCACGGTGCAGTACGAGTTCCTGAAAGGCGTGTTCGATAATAAGTAAGCTTAAGACTTTCTTTTGTCTCCATAGTTTGGTTTGACTTTGTTCAGGAAGTTTAGCTGTAGAGCTGCGGGGTAGTCCGGCAGGGGTTGGGTTTGTTAGGGTTGTGTGTGGTAGAGAACCACACACACTGAGGGGGAGTGGAGGAGATGCTTCATTGAATCCCGGAAGATCTTGGACCTTTAAAGACTTCCAAAGTGGTATTTCTTTTACCACCGAGAATGTGGCCAATCACAAGTGTAGAAAATATGCTCTACTCGAACAGTCTGCGTGGTTTATTAAGCAGATAAAACTCAGCAATATCCACTTTCATTGCTATCGACGTGCTCCCGTCTGTCTTCGTAGTTCAGTAGCTCATGCTATGATTAAAATTATAATAATTGTTGTTTCTTGCTTCTTGTGGTGCCCAATTTCTATTGTTAGGCGTATCGCTTAGAAATGAAAGTCTCTGGGTTATTTTCAATACGCGTTAATACTGCAGAGCTAATTCTCTAACACTGTCTAGTTTCCAGCTTGTCTGGTACCAATATTGCGTGGCTGAACATTGCATCGCATTATTTGTAATGCTTGCTGGTAGTAGTTCCTTTTATGGTGATTCCCCGGGCACAACACAATCGATTAATTGAAGGCAGAAACTTTTACTGTTGTATGTTAGGTCATCCACAAGCACCCGCCCAGAGGACACGCCCGATGCAGAAGTACATGAGAAATACATCGAGTTGATGTGTAAATACCAGCCTGACTTGGTGCACAGTTACTTGAGGAACACAGAAAATTACAGACTGGAGGAAACACTTGCGGTATGGACAGTTTAATAACTTGCTTAGTTCCTTGCCCCGGAGTGGGGGATAGGGCCGGAGTTTAATAACTTAACATACTTTTTTATCTGTGTTTATAAGATTTAAGTTCATTCTCGGACACTTTCGTACGCTCTCGAGCTCTCTCGGACACTTTCGGACACTCTCGGTATCCTTGCTTACTTTATTTTTACACTTATTTTTTTAATTATCAGAATTACGAATAATTTTGGGTGGCTTATAACGAACTCCGTGGAAAGGCAGTGGAAAAAAACAAAAAAAAACAAAGGCGAATGTCTAAACAAGGACAGTAAAAGGCCTTGGTAATTTACTTGAAGAGCTTCAGGTCGCAGTGGTTAGCTCAAAGATGATTATTTACAGCCGCCGTCTTCCTTATTTTGTAGATTGTTCGCCAATTTAATAACACATACGCTACAGCGTACCTTTTGGAGAAAGCTGGAGATATTCACGGAGCTTTCCAACTTCTTTTAGAGGTAAGATTAACATCTCCATCACTCCTTGCCCGAGAACACACTTAGCCAGCGGGTTTCAGCTGTGGTGTTACTAAGCAACATGACGTCACCTTATGAGGTGTCATGCTGACATGACCACTTAGAGTACCCGTATTTTTTGATTAGATAATAAGAAATGGAAACCATTTGAGTGCTGCAACGAAGATATTTCAATCGTTACATGTTTCAAGGAAACGCCAGGTTTTAAAAATGTGTTTTTCTTCTCATGGGCATGAAAACTCCACGTTTATTTTTAAGTCAGTAGAAAGATAATATTTGAGTTGACTGCAGGTTTTTATAATTATGTACTTATGTGTACCTAGCAATATTCTTTCGCATGAGATAGTCCAATTGGGTAATGTGTGTTACGTTTTCAGACGTTGATAAAAAAAAGTATACAGACAAGAATGATCTTGCCATATTTTAAAACACCAAGTTGTTGTAACGCGCTTACTTTGATTTATCTGCAGACCTTAAAGGTTAAAGTAAAAGTTCTCTGTGATGTTTTCGAGAAACAGGAATCTCCACCAGAAAACGGTATGTTCAAAGTGTCCCCATGTTGTCCTGGATTAGTGAAGGTCCTTAAGCCCTCTTCTACACTACGCCCGAGAAATTTGAAAACGTAGGTTTATTTCTACGGTTAGGCCTACCGTCCACACTAATCTGCGTCACGAAAACAGAGCTTTTCAAAAACGCTCTTCAAACTGGAGGAATTTGAAAACGCCGACCTTGCGTTTTAGTGTGGACGAAGAACATTCTCAAAACGGAGCTTTTGGAAAACGATAAAGTGACGATAATCATGTGATTTTCCTGACCGAGGTTTCCTAAAACACAAATCCAAAATGACCGGTGATTGTTGCGTTTTCAAATTTCTCCGGCGTAGTGTGGACAGGAAACATGTGCGTTTTCAGAGTGAAAACGTCATTTTCAAATTTCTCCGGCGTAGTGTGAGCGGGGCCAAAGATTGTTTTACTCCGAAGGAAAGGAAAACACTTTTGTTGTGATACAATGCACATACAATTATTTCCTAATTTCATTTGCTACTATTTGATTACCCATGCAATTTTATGCAAGGCATGCAGTAACTTGAAATTCGATGCTTATCTTGTAGAAATCAGAAAACTCACGGCAAACGTCGAGGCCGTCCTGTTAGGAGTTATAATCCCTTTGTGCCAAAGAAACTCAGGGAGGCTTGAAGAAGCGGACAGAGAGGTAACATTTGACTCTTATTTCTTAAAACTTTATCTCACAGTTATTTTCTTTGCAGGAAGAAGGCAAAATAATTAATTAACAAATAAGTGATTAGATACAGCAGTTTACAGATTACTAACCAACTTGCTCGAGCTGTACCGGGGAATATTGGCCCTCGGTCGGTCGTTTTTGTACGGACCTTGCTGCGCTCGGTCCGTGCTGCCACCTCGGGCCAATATTCCCCAGTACGGCCCACGCGCTCGGTTAGTAAGAGGTTAGTGTTTCAGTTCTCAAATGGAAGTTCATAAAGGTAAACAAACCACCGGGGTGAACTAGAATGTGTAGTTTTTTGATGTGTATATAGTGTTGTCTCGTGGACGCTGTGATAAATTCGGTTAGCGTTGACCCGTGTTTCTAGATTATTAAGTAAAAGTTCATTAATTTCATTTCTCTTTCCAGGCTTTGTGGTTTCCCCTCCTTGAAACTGTCATGGCGCCTCAAAGGAAGTGCAAGGATACAACAAGCGCTTATTTTCTAGGCGAGTAAAGAGGAGAATATCTTCTCTCCATAGTCTTTAAATTCCCTTTACATACATATTTGAGTGATGGTCACGGCCAGGGCGGAGTCACGTGAATTCGACAGCATCCAGACGACATCTTCCTCTGCAGACATTTGCGTGAATCACGTGACAGTAAATTAGTCACGCAGGGCATTAGGCTTTGTGAAAGCTTCCACTTCTGATGCTTGCGTCACGACACGCATTACTTGAGTCTCGCAACTTACTTGATTTACGCAGCTTCTGCGTCGGAGGGTTCTCATGGTTGTCTATTTTACCATGTTTAATTGTTTTCTTTTTTTTACCCAATGGCTACAGCTTTCAAGGATCAAACAAGACACGTCCTGAACAGCATGATGGGATACATTTCGTTACCGGCCATTCTACAGAAAATAATGCAGGTTGGTGTACTATTTTATTGTTCAACTTTTTAATCTTGTTTAATCTCCGTTGTGTGTTCTCTGCTTTATTGTATATATTGGCCATGACTTTTTCATAAGTTCAAGAAGGTAGTACTTTCAAATACCTATTCAGAACAGTAATTAAGTCTTGATTCACTTGTAGCCTTGATCTTTACACCTGTAACAAGCTAGTTACCTTTTGAGTGAATTGTATCAACTATAGTGCAGTTTCCCTGTGACATCAAGGATCCAACAAACATACTCAGCCGTAACAGGTGTTACAGGTTACGGCCCTTATTGACACCCCTGCCTATTTACAAAGTCAGGTCGGCTCGGATGGTGTGCGGCACTCTCTGTTCTTGTTCCGTGCGAAATGACCAAGAGCCAAGCATTTCCCTGTACGGACCTTGATGCAGTCCCCGTATGGACTTCAACCATTGTGCGGATTCGTCAACCCTGCACCATTTCTGTTTACTATTTTACGACTCAGGCCTCGTCCACACTACGCTGTGGGAATTTTGAAAGGCAGCTTTATTTCTACGGTTAGGCACTAATCCATCACGAAAACGGGGCTTTTCGAAAACGCTCTTTAAACCGGAAGAATATGTAAACGCTGGCTTTTCGTTTTCGTGTGGACGGAAAACATTACGAAAACGATGGCATCGCGAGAATCATGAGATTTCCCTGACCAAGTTTTCTTTGAACACAAATCTAAAATAACTGATGATTGTTGTGTTTTTAAATTCCTCCGACAGAAAACATTTGATTTGTTTTCAGAGTGATACCTCTGTTTTCAAATTCCTCCGGGGTGGTGGGGATGGAGCCTTGGTTATCTGTTGACTTATGTTCATTTTCCTTTTGTCTCGATGTAGGATCCCACATACAGCACGGGTAAATTTGGTGAAATCAAGGAACTTATTTTGGGAATGTTAGACACCTACAGCTATGAATCCGTAAGTGTATTTGATTACTTACAGTTCCTTATCACAACGTCAGTCACCAACAACAGTTCTTAAATTCGGAGCTGTCCTTACTCTGACGATGACACTGGACACTATCTATGTTTAGCAGCTTCAGTAGCAGCATCTTTCGTAATCCTTTTAATTTAGCCGTTGTGTGGGAGGCGTCATGGCGTCATGACGTCTCATCGAGTGGTCCGGGTTAGAGTCCTGGCCGGGAACATTGTGTTGTGTTCTTGGGTAAGACACTTTACTTTCGCATTACCTCTCTCCACCCAGGTGTATAAATGGGTACCGGCGATTTTGATGCTGGAGGGGTGACCCTGCGATGGACTAGCATCCCATCCAGGGTGGAGTAGAAATACTCATAGTCGCTCCTTGCTACAGAAACCGGAATAAGCTCCGGCCTGATGGGTCACTTGGCTCGTATGCAGACTTTTACGCTAATTTAGCCGTAACTATCGCATTGCCCGTCACACAAACTCTTAGTTTATTTAAAATTAACTCGCAACTCTAACTTCTTTTGTTTTAGACCCTCTTAAAAACGACCAACAAATTACTGGCGAGCGATCTGCACTCTTCGCTCAGCCATCTTAAAAATCAAACCAATCTTGGATTTGTACCCAAGTCTTCCCGGTGCGCCATCTGTCATAGACTCTTCACCGACGAACTTGTCAGCGGTCAACGTGATGACTTCATACTATTCAGGTAAGATGATACGTGGTGTAACTTGTTTCTTGTATACCCGAGATTCCGTTGTTAAATGAAGGTTTACACAGAGAGTAAAGGTCTGGCAAACCTTTGAAAATCTTGTATTTAACTAACTTTCGAGACTTAAAAAGAGCGTGGAAAATGAAGAAGACTGTCTTGAAACATGTTTGCTATTTTTTTCATGTTTTAACTAGTTTTTTTGTCAGTGAAGTGTAAGTTCGTTCTTTTTCTTTTACGGAGAGTTAAGTATAGACTCGCTGATGAAACCAAGTCTAGAAAACACAGAGAATGGCTCGAGAAAAGTATGAACTTCGCAATGAGTTTCTATGTAGCATTTTTCCTGAAAAAATATTCTGAAGAAATGTACTGCCTACTGCAGTACATTTCGACGGCGCGCATGAGATTGGAACAACAAACAAAAAGTAGTACAATATTGTGATAAATTGTCGTTTTCGGAATTATTCGAGTAGAGAGATACAGTATTTATAGCAAAATTTGTGCATTGCCCACCAAACAAAACGTAAAACTCGTTTTAAGTTGCAAATAACAAACAGAACACCCTCTATGAAACAAGTAACAAGTTTATTTAATAAGCGCTCATTCTAAAGCTCTATATTTCAAAGCTTGAATGGTTTATCACATCTGTATAACTGTTTCTGCCTCGAGCTAAAAATTTTAAAGTGGGCTTCCTCCAAGGTTTTATTTTTTATGTAATAAAGAACTTAACTTTATTTCACGAAAAGGGAAACTTTTAAAATTTGATGTTTCACTGGACTGTGATCTGTTCGTCATATTTTAAACAGTAACAGTGCCCTCGAAATCCAAACAAAGTCGCTTAATTTTCAATTTTTTAAAGCTGACCCGACGAAATATTCCCAAACTTGAAGCTTTATAAATTTTCAAACAGAAAATAATCTTATTGTGATAAGGATCGTCTCTCAAAGGAGGCGCGATACCATAAATTTGGCTTGTTTTGCAGAGGGCGGCGACGAAATTTACCAAGATGTAAAATTTACTTGCTTACTTTATCAAACCAGACTTCAAAACAATAGTTTACCAAGTTGGAAAAACTTAAAAAATAGAACAGCGATGGTAAAAATTGGGGCACTATGAGACGGACACGAACAATGTACTTGAAAAATGTAATCTCACAGTTCCAAAAAGCTTCATACGTGACCTGGCTACTTTAGTTTAGTTGAATTTAATGACTAAGGAGTCCAGCCCCTTTATCATCGGGGAGGCTATTTGGAGGGCGAAGCAAACTAGGCGTTTAGTAATATATACACAGCAACGTGACAAGGTTCACTTGATCAGTATCCAGCGGCCCAGCCGCTCTTCCTAGGGTCGGATTTGCCTGTGAGTGTTCCATCCTTGTTTCTGGCCACGGCCTGCACGACTGCATAACCACTTACGTTCTTAACCTCGTGCCCAAGCTTTTGTAGTCCTTCTTGGATGGCGAGGGGCATGGGGTAATCTTTGTCAATGCGAATGTACATGGGAAGCAACTGATGATGGAGCCTGGGATCGACTACAGCTTGAGGTAGAGTTCGGTTGAACCAGAGGTAATTCATGGTGACCTGGAAACGAACGAAGAAGCAATTTCAGTGAAAAGACCATGAGATCGCTTCAGTGGACATTAAAGAGACTTACCTAAAACGACAACAAGACTTCCAAACCTGTCTCCAAACATTTTCAATCTTGCCGGTGATTCTTCGAAAAAGGTAATTGTTTCAGTTTATGGTATTTCTTTTTTGAACAAGGCAATGCTGAAAGTCGCAAGAATTCAGAGCTCGGTAACTCTCCATGTTTCCTTCAGTGATGTAATTCCCTACTCTACTACTATTGAAACACGGACACTACCCATAATTCACGACTTCACTTTGACGAATCGTTAACGCTTGAAGTAGGCCGTTTCCGAGTTGCCTTTTGCCTCTGTGTCAAAACGAGTCTAAGTGCGAAACCATTCGTATGAAAATGAGTCCCGCCTACTGGTTCAGTCTCGTGCAAATCAATCTTATTTTCATAACACTGGTTTTCGCACTTAGACTCGTTTTGAAACAGAGGCACAAGGCAACTCGGAAATGGCCTATTAATATCCCTTTGTCAACTTTAAATCAGAGCGGTTTTCAATTGAGTGTCGAAAGTGATCAGAAAATTACTTTCGCTTTGGTTTTGGTTTTACTATGGTTTGAGATTGGCTGAGTAGTCTAATTGGTAAGTAATTGGTTTGGTTTTGTTTTACGACACTCAATTGAAAACCGCTCTAGCAAAAAACGCAGTGAAACCCTATGACTTCCATACAAAGTTATACTGTAACCATATAAGACTCGGACTTAAAAAGTCCTTCTGTCAGCAATTGGATGAATGCTTACTAAAGAAATAGCAGTGGTTATTTTCGTTCCACCAGATGCTCCGATAACTAAGCGAACCACGCCGTCCTTGTCCAGAAATATCGTGGGAGCGGTGGAAGACTGGGGCCGTTTTCCAGGGTAGATCATGTTTGATTCAGACGGTTCCACTCCAAACGCGTTCTTTTTACCTGGAGTCGAAAAATCGTCCATCTCGTTGTTGTAGATAATGCCAGTCCTGGTAGATCGATATTTCGATCCAAAGCTGTAAATAAGTTGAATTTCGGTGTGTTAAAAATGGTGTTTACACGATACCTGGGTGAGATTACCCGACTATGGGCTTCTGTTTTTGAAAACATTTGACAAGAGCTTTACATTCCGCGAGGTGTATGTGAAGAACTATTATGTTCTTAACCTTCTGAACCACTCCAGATGCATGTACAAACAAGAACAGAGTACACAAAGCACACCCTATTTTACGCTGAAACGGCCCAAAAACCATATCAGAATACACCTAAATACAGTCATTTGCAAAAAGAAGGCTCGAGGACTCGTCGTTCAGAAGTTCGTTTTGGCGTTTGTTCAATGCTACCCTGTGTTTCCCTCTCCCCTTGATATTTCTGTCAGAATTTCAGGATTATTGTGACATTATGCAATATTATTGCATAATCTCATATAGTCATCGAGCCGTGTTGATGGGGTTGAGGGTTTTTTTAATGACAAACCTATCGGGCACAAATTGGAGGTCAGGTTACTCAGTTTCTTTCCTTCTTTCTGAAATTTTACGGAGTCTCCCAACTTTCTTCAGTTGATTGTAGTTTATGTGAGAAAGTAACCCGTCCTCAAAACTACTGAAGTCCATCCACTACCGTACAAAAATTTAAAAAAAACAGTAACTTTATATGGTGAATACAATTAGTGGTGCCCCAGTAGCTTACATTGTGACCCTTTTAAATAGACAAACAAATATTGCTAATAAACACAAACTTGTTAAAAATCCCAACTTGTTGGAGGCAGACCAAGTTGGCTATTTACAAGACTTGGATGAGTTGAATTCGGGACCACCGAACACAAATCCCTCTAGTGGCGAGGGAAGAGGATTTGAACCCGGGACCTCCGGATGACAAGCTCAACGCCCTAACCACTAGGCCACACCGCCAACTATGTTCAACATCATCAGAGATATATTTTTATACAATCTATGACTGACTTACTAGAGATTTATCGTCATGGTGGCAGAAACAGCGTCGCCATTTTCTGCGATCACAGACAAGTGGGTAGTTCCCTGCTGACTCGAGTTGAGATAGAAGTTGCCATAGTACGTGGAATCATTGAATGTTTTGTTGTCCCAAATGTTCTGGCGTAGAGATTCGGCAAAGTCGGCGTTGGTCATGTTCTTAACGATCTGCCGTATGAAATGGTCACAGTTTTGTTAGCAGTAAGTACTCGTCCGGGGAGCAGTTTTTAATGGCTCCATGCTCTTCTCCCCACCCTTCCCTGTGCTACACCCCCAATGGAATGGCCCATACCCGTCCACGAGGTCAGTCTCTAGTTTGAGCCCTACCCAATATTGTTGTACTTGTGTTCCCGGGCACAATACTGTGCTGCTCTCCACCCGTGAGTCAGGTGCCAACTGATAAGGATAGCTGCCCTTTCTTTCAAGACCATTAAGGTTACTACCGTACCCAAATTCGCAATTAGCCAAACAGAAGCCTTGTCTACCGTTCTGATGTGCTGCGACATCAAGTCAACGACCTGATATGGCTACGATAACGTGGTGACTTGCCCAAATTTGGGTACACTAGATGCGCAATCGTAGTGTGATTTCGGTCACTCTTTGTTGCATTTTGTAAACTTTCAGTGAATGCTTCTTTTCGAGATTTCGGCTGGAAAAGGTTCTACAAGCAATAGCAAACAAAGAAATGCAATTTCTTCAGTCGCAAAAATATATTTAAAAGCATTCAGAGTACCTCGGTAACATTGGCAAAGTCCTCGTCACCCAGCAACGCTCTGTAAGCATAGGCAAACTTGAACGCTTCCACTATTCTGTGATATGTCAGGACTGAGTTGTTTAGACCTTCTCGATCGTGAGCCGTCATGTTATATCCTGGAAGAGAAGCAACAAAACGTAGTACATGGTCAAATTGAAGGTCTAATATTTAAGGGATGGTGCCCCAGAGTGAGATATTGTTTTAACAGGTGTTTGATAGACTAAGTACACCGCAACTGGCCCTTTGCTGATATCTTTTGGAGGTTATTTCTTAAGAGAGCTACGTCACAGTTTGCACCTCTGGAAACGTTTAGCCTACGTTTTTCAAGTTCTTCTTTGTAATGTGTGTTAATCTTCTCCATCCTTCACGATCCTTGTTCCTTTATGCTTTATTATTATCTCTTGGGTGTTTTTCCATCTTAGTAAACTACTATTTTCAGGTTTTCCTACAGTTGAAAGGTAATTTTTTGCGTGGCCAAAATAACTCAAAATACAATGACTGAGCGCCTTTAAGGATTTTGTTTATTACAAGTGTGAGGTGGTTTCTTTGTAGTATGTTATGGTTGTCTCAAGAAAGAAAACTTTCTGGAGACTTTGAGAGGTTATGAGTGAATCGTTTCAACATGGAAGCACATGAATGAATCAGGTTTGCGCTATTGAGGCCTAATGAACAGCCAAAGTAAACCCGAGCTGAAACCCTGTTCAAGCTTCCGACTGGTAGAACAACAAAAGCCAAAACTAAAATGTAGCTGTAGCTTACCTTTTAAAATGTTAAGAATTAAGCTCAGCACAGCCCCACTCCCTGGGGGAGGCGTGGAGTACCAAGTGTAGTCCCCTAAAGTCCCGCTCAGTGGTGTCTTGAATTTGACCTTGTAGTTCTTCAAATCGTCCAAAGTAAAAATTCCACCACCATCCTTGACGTCTTGTACAATATCTTTGGCTAGTTCTCCGTAATAAAAATCTTCAGGGTTGTCGCGAATGCGTTCTAAGGTCTTGGCAAACTTGGGCATGCAAAGAGTTTCTCCTAGTTTCTTCAATTTGCCGTCCTTGTTGAAGAGAAGTTCCCTTAATTAAAACCAAACGCGATAGTTCAGGAACGATGTTTCTCTAAATTACCATTCAGNGTTTTTCTATCTTATTAAACTGTTATTTTCAGGTTTCCTACCATTTAAAGGTAATTTTGTATGTGGCCAAAATAACTCAAAATACCGTGACGGAGCCTCTTTAACCATCCTTGTTCCTTTATGGTTTATTATTATCTCTTTGAAGTTTTTCCATCTTAGTAAACTACTATTTTCAGGTTTCCTTCAATTTAAAGGTAATTTTTTTGCGTGGCCAAAATAACTCAAAAGACAGTGACTGAGCGCCTTTAAGGATTCTGTTAATTACAAGTGTGAGGTAGTTTCGTTGTAGTATGTTATGGTTGTCTCAAGAAAGAAAACTTGCTGGACACTTTGAGGGGTTATGAGTGAATCGCTTGAACATGAAAGCACATGAATCAATCAAGTTTGCGCTCTTGAGGCCTAATGAGCAACGAAAATGAACCCGAACTGAAACCCTGTTCAAGCATCCGACTGGCAGAACGAAAGACCGACAGAGCGAACGAACAAGCAGACGAACAAAAGCCAAAACTAAAATGTAGCTGCAGCTTACCTTTTAAAATGTTAAGGATTAAGCTCAGCACAGCCCCACTCCCTGGGGGAGGCGTGGAGTACCAAGTGTAGTCTCCTAAAGTCCCGCTCAATGGTGTCTTGAATTTGACTCTGTAGTTCTTCAAATCGTCCAAAGTAAAAATTCCGCCACCATCCTTGACGTCTTGGACAATATCTTTGGCTAGTTCTCCATAATAAAAATCTTCAGGGTTGTCGCGAATGCGTTCTAAGGTCTTGGNGTTATTTAAGTTTTACCGATTATTGAAATAATTGTTAATAGTGTTTTATTTTATCTGTGTCCCCAAATAGCACCGTTGGCGCTAGGACGACCTGACACCTTAATAAAGGATATTTTATGTTGTTATGCTACCCATATTTATTGTCGAATTTTGATGAACAGGATAAGACGCACCTTTCGGCAAAGTTTAAAGAATTCTGTACATGGGGTTCAGAGCCACCTTAAATTTTCGAAAATTCGACAATAAAAACTGGGTTTCACCGGGCCCTTTTTGAATTATAAGTACATAAAGCTTAAATTAAACGTGTTTTTAGCTGGTCCTACCGTTTTTATCGAAACTTATTGAGTCACGAAAATGATACCAACGTGTTCACCAATGATTGGACAGTTTTTTGTTACCAATATTGTAGTATTAATTTATAAAGAGCGGTTTTAATGATCCATCATCTGTTGAGGCTGAGCGAAAAGATCTGGGCTGGACGAGCTGGAATGAGGTAGAGTAGGAAGCGAAAGACCGCGATGGATAGAAGTTGTTGCTGTGTAGCCTTATGCTCCTCTCACAGGAGCGGAGAGGATGAGTATTAATGATCCATCCAAATCTACAGTCTTGGAAAGCGCTAGAAACTGTTTTGAGCCACCTAAAGCTGCATCTTACCTTTTCTAGAGCTCATCGCCCCTCCGACGTACATCGTTTTATTGGCTTTTCCCGGCGCTTCTTCGCGAAAGTCGATCACCTCCACGAACTTGGTACTCTTTTTGTACACAACCATAAACCCTCCACCGCCGATCCCTGCGGAATGCATGTTGTAAACCCCGATGCAAAACAAGGCTGCGATCGCCGAATCCACGGCCGTCCCATTTTTCTTCAGAATATCCCGGCCTATCTCCGAGCAAGGACCGGCGTCCGATGCAACTACGGCGTGCCGGTAAGGGCCATCGGCCCCCGGGGGCCCGGTCGGTAATGGTTTTATCCCGCCAGATGGACATGTGGGTAGCGCAGTTGTAGGTTGAGAAGTTGCCTTGTCCGAAGTAGAATCGTCGTCTTTCTTTATTAAGAGAACTGCGAGTGCGGCAATGAGACCCAGCAAGATTACAATAATAACCACAAAGATGATGAGCTGTATCCTGGTGAAATAACAAAACAATATTCGTCATTCCATACAGTTCTTAATTCCTTTTCATTGGCCGAGAGCCCGCCACACGACTTGCAAATAACTGCCAACAAAGAATGGTCTGCTCATGCGTAATACCATCTAAATGTGTTTTGGTGCAAATAATGTTCTGCTCATGCGTAACTGTTACGCTTTTGTGTGAAAAATGGCAGATCGCTTCCTTGCGCTGTAAGAAAGTGATTAAATATGAAAACAAACTTGGCGATCGAATGATAAAACAATTATTGAACTCGTTCGTCGCAAAATATCGTTATTTTTCAGTGTCTCGCAGATCAGTTATTTTCCTCAGCCTTCTGCTTTGGCGTTAATTGATCTGCTTGCCACTGACAAATCACAATATTTTGCT